GAGGCAATTGCTCAGAGTTTGGCAGCCATCCTCTCTGGGTACCCATCCTCCTGGAATTGCTGAGAAGCCCTCCTTGACACGCAGCAGACATCGCAGCACAGGGCAAGACAGTGACTCAGCAATGCAGATTGCTGGGCTCGTTTCAGCCGCCTTTGGCTCCCACTGAAGGCAGGATCCAGTTCAAGGTTGCTGTGGTGACTATTTTCAAAGCTCTGCCTGGAATTCATTTTAGCTACCAAGAGACTGTCTGTCACTCCATGGCTACCACCTCCCACAAGAGCTTCATTCTGCTGCTAGACTGAAACTGTTCGTGAAGTGTTCCCTGCAGACAATAGAGGCCAGTGGTCTGCTGTTTATACCAAATAAAATCACTTCGGTTTCAGTTGTTCTTCATCTGTATTTTGGCCTTACGATGTTGTTTGGCACAAGTTTTGCTGGACACTGGTAAGGTCAGAGTTTTGTAGTCTAGCACAGAGCGAGTTGCAAGGTATATCCAACTTTGGCCAAGTCTGTTTTTCTCTAAATAACTACCACGTGTGTTTTTTTTGGTGGTTTTTTTTTTTTTTTTTTTTTTTGTTGTTGTTGTTTTTTAAAAAAACAGAATAATAGTAGAGCAAAAGGACTTGTGTGCCTGAGCCTTTTCCTTTCTTTCCCCTTTCCATCAATCTTGTTTGTTGTTAATACCCTGGGGAATTTGTATCTGGTACATCAGATAAATCCTGGTAAAACATTGCCCTAATGTGCTTGTAGCAGCAGTGGCATAATGAGGTAGCTACTGTAAAAAACCTAATCCTGAAGGTTAGGCCAGCCCAGGGCTAGACCAACCAACTCTTCAAATTCATGAAGATATGCAAGATTTTAATTCCTGACTTAGTTTGCCTGTATTCTGTTTTCTTCCTCTTTATACATTAACCCATATTTATTTTTTCTCCTCCCCTTTTCCTCATCCTTGCCCCCAAGTGTTCCTCAGCTTTATAGATTGAGTTTCCTTTGGCATGCCAAAAATCCACTGATGAATACCACTTGTTTGAAAGTTGCATGCAAGATTTCTTTTGGTGCGAGTGTTTTATATGAAATCCAAGTGAGCAAGTATTTAGAACTTTTTAATGGCTTCAAGCCTAAGTTTTTAGTTGTGTGCATACAATGTTTGCAGCATACATGAGAAATACACTTAGAGAACAACATTAAAAATAGCCTGTGCATTTGGAGTGTCGCTTACTGGTTTGGATATACCCAGTGGCAAAATACCTGAAGGATAGATTTAAAAAATAGGGAACAGCTTTTTGTAAAGATGAAAGCTATTAGTCATTGAAACAAATGATCACAAAAAGTTAGATCATCTCCACCATCCAAGTTTCCAATTCAGTAATCAATGGCTTGCTAGAGCAGAAGCAGTAACTACCATTATTTGGTCTTTGTTGCAGAGCAGACAATTGATAAATTTTGCCTTCAGTCTCTTCCTCTGTAGATTTTATGATTTTCCCTTGCAAGCCCAGCTCTGACAACTCTATCTTACCCGTCATGAATTGCTGTGTTGATGCTGGAGACGTCCCCTCCTGGCCTGCCCCATGTTTCACACGCTTTTAAAGTCTTCAACATAGGGTATACCTCAGTTTTGCAGTCGAGTGACAGTTCCTTTTGCAACTGTTCCTGAATATCTGGGAGCAGCATGACATGGTAGGGAAGGAAGATCATAGAGCTGTAGTAGCCCTTTGAGTGCATTTACATGTCCTTCAGAAATAGAAGAATCTAGAAGCGTCTTTCAGTTCGGCAGAGATTCGGTGTCTTCATTTACAAGTTTAAGTTGATGTACATTAGCTGGACACAAAAGACTTAATTTCTGAATTTGCTGGGTGTTTTTGTTGTGTTTTTCTTTTCTTTCTTCCCCTGACATGCTTAATCTTTTATAAGACCCCTTTTGTGGTTTTGTTCAGGCAATTAACGTTGAAATGAAGGTTTCTTAAATCAGGATATGCAAGGAAGATTTGAAGTAACACACTGATTATATAATTAATTCTCTGTTGTAAATTCATTTTGATAGAGTTAATTCTTTCCCAGAGGCTGAAGACTAGTTTTGGTCCACCCACAGTGCTGTAATCAGCTAAGAAATTAAGAAGAAAAAGGCCTTGAAGGAATGGAAGTTTTACCACCGGTTTTAGGAAAAAAATGCCAGAAACAGGCAGGATATTTTATTTTTAATTCAAGCCAAAGCTTCTAAGCTGTGATTTTGAACCATGGGTATCTAAATCCTGTTTTCATGCAGCATAATATATTGAGTCCAAAAGAAATCAGAAAGGAATGATACCTGAGGAGGATGGAGAAAAACTCTCTCGGTGGTAGGGCCTTGCACAAATGGAAAAGTGTGTTTAGGGGAAGATGTATTTAGGATTGTTTTTAACATCTTCCACAAATATGGTAACATTCATATTTAGCTTTCTGTATGACAGTTGCCCATTTACTAATAAATATGGACCAGTGACTGTCTTGGTGGACTGTGAACTCTCCTACTGCTTCCAAAAGTGTTTTGTGAGGTGCTGACTTCAGAAAGCATAAACAGCACTCCAAAATCTAAATAATTTGGAAAATCCCATTTGTTGTACTTCATTTGTCTGCTTCTCTCTTGCTTAACCAGTGACCTAATCATCCCGTAGATGTGTTTGGACTGGACGTTTCCAGAGCAAAACAATAACAAAAAGATGTTGACAAATTTTCAGGATTTTCAAATGACTCTGCACACATATTGCAGCTCACACTGCAAGGGCAGTGACTAGCCTACTTTACTCTTTAATAGCTGATTTAATTTACAAGGCTTTCTAATCCCAGTCTGTCTCTGCCTTTTCCTTGGTTGGACATATTTTGTATTATAAATTGAAAATGTCATTGTCTAGGGGTGATTTTAGCATGCATACTAAGTAAGAATATGCATGAAATTGTCATTATATCCTAGGAACAGGTATTTCTGTTTTATTTTCTTAGTCTACTTGATGGCTGCAGCAGAAGTTATGTTGTATTGGTTAAAGTGCATTATCACCACATTTCTAAGCTCAATCGAATACGTGTAAATGAAGTCAGCATGATGCAGATAGAGCTGACAGATGATCTTCCTTGCAGCTCTGGGTAGCAAGAGTAGGCTTGCCCTGGAATATCACTTTAGATAAAGTGGTTTCTTTACCCCTCTGAATTTGGGCAGAATGAAATTCCCACTGCCTGGTTCTCCATGAACTGCTCCCCAACTTCGACTTCTAACTTTGGTGCAAAAAATCCAACTATGGATAAGGGACTGTTGTAACATACTAGTGAGTGAATAGTTAAATATAATCTTAATGTGTCATTTACATTTGAGCCTAACAAGGTTATAACTGGAGTTGTGTGAAAATGACTTTTTGGTGCTATTTTCACATAAATGGACTATTTATTTATTTATTTTGTTCTGGGGTTATTTCACACCCCAAGGGTTTCATTTTTGTTGGTTGTTTTATTAATGTAAAAATACTCATTTTCACACCCAAATGTGTGATTATTTAAAATGCTGCTTCTATTCATTGTGCACTCACTTGCAACCTAAAGGCAAATATTCAAATGTCTGGAGCTTGATAACTCTGTGGTGGTTTTGGCTGGCTTTTTAAACTCAAAAATTACTGTGAAGAGAAATGGACAGTAAGTAATTCAAAGGGTTACAAGGGCTGTACTGTCATGTCTGCCTCTCAGCATCCAAGGATGGTTCATATGTTATTCCAGCACACAACAATGTAGTGCTGTGCCCTGTCTCAGATGCACGCCAGCCCCCTCACAGCACGGTAGTGCCAAAAGGCTGTAGCAGTGAGCCTTCATCTCTCTGGCCCAGTGCAACATTAAGTAGCCTCTGACCCTCTTCCCTGCATGGAGAAATAACGTGGGTTCACAACGCTGAAGCAGAATTGCAGCAGTGTTGATCTGAGTGTCTCTGGCCCTTGTTTACTCCCCCCCACCCTCTCCCCTGCCCTGGCCACAGGGGACCACAGAGGACGTGGATGCAACGTGTGTTTTACCAGCATCTCCCCTCTCTGGGCACTGACTGGTTAAAACACAACTTAAAATGTCTTTTTTCTAAATTGGACTGATTTTGGAGAGTCTAAATATGATGTAAAATCAGTGTCCAGGGCTCTGCATTTTGTAATAAGAATGTTTTGCTGATTTCTTGCTAGAATATCTGCAACCACACCAATTTGCATGGCTGTATGTGTGTTAGATTGCTGGCAAAGAAATGCTGAATGCTGATAATTGTATACTGATTTCCAAGGCTGATTTAAGTCATTTTGATTTTTAATTCATTCTGTGCTTCCTTTTTATTTCTGCACATGTGTAGTAATGTCCTGTAATGTTGTTGCCTAAAATAAGCAGTAAGAAATGAAGTTGTGAGATGGCTGCTTTAAAAGGAAAATGACATTTTTTCCTTTGATTCTTTTTTTTTTTTTCCCCAGTGAAAGAATAGGTCTCTGTATACAGAATGTTCAGAAAAATGTTGCATTCACTATCTTGCTTCTAATTTATATACAGAAAACAGCATGGCTGTTGGGAACCTACAAAGCTCAGAAAAGTGATATTCAGAGATTCTGCACAAGAATATTCTTGTTCTTGAGAAGCACTTGGCACCCAGCACTCCCCTGCAGGTCAACTGGACTTGGGGTGCTCAGCACCTCTTTTGGTTTGGCATGCAGCTGGGTTCTTCAGTGAAAGCCTGGTTTGAAATCATGTAGTCAATATGTATTAGAAGATGTAGAAAACTCTGTCCATCTGCTGAGGAAAAGGAAGAAAATATAGGGAACTATATATTTTCATGTTAGTTGTATGTGATAAACCCAGGATGTATGTTCTCTCCGTCCTTCAGTGATATATGCAAGTTCATGTATTCATCAACAGTGTTGGGAACCTTACTTTCTTCATGTGAACGTGTTAACAAATACTGAATGCATAAGAAGTTTCGGTTTTCCTTTTTTTTTTTTTTTTTTTTTTTTAATTAGGAATCTGAGAAAAAGGGGTTAATCGACAGAATCCACATGGTCCAAGAGATCATTATAGCTGTTCAAAGCTTTCTAGAAGAAATAGCATCATTTGGAGAGAGGATTAAAAAGTAAGTGATAATTTTTTTTCTTGCTTAGCCATGATTTGCAATGAAGCAGAACTAGAAGGATTAAGGTAGAGTGAGTTTCTTGCTCCAAAAATACTGCAAGGTGCAGCAGGAGAGCCTCACCAGTCCTACCACCATTCCTTCTTCTCATGGAGTCCTTCGCTCCAAAAATTTTCCCAAAGCTTAGAGAAGAGAAGCCATCTGCTGTGCTGATCCAGCTCTCGCATTCTCTCATTTGCCCATATTTCTGGTCTTGTCTGTCTGTGATGGGGTAGGGAGTCGTGATGCCATGCAAGGGAAAATATTGCTTGAAGACGTGCGTGCAGAAATATCAGGCATTTATTTTATTTTCCTTTATGGAAAGTAGGTAGGAATTGATGGTTGATGTTGCCTTTCCCACGCCCTCCCCACACTGACCTGGTTACAAGGGTTACCAGACAGTCACTTCCCTGCCCAGCACATTGATGTTCTCTTTTTACCATTTCGAGCTGTCTGTTTCCTGTTGGTGCCACAAGAAAGCCCGAAGGGCGTTTTCTGGGTCTCATTGCAAGGGGAGGCAAATAGGGTATTCCTGACCTTATAAAGGAGAGGGAGGTGAAGAGCCTAAAAAAAAAATCCCACACACAAACTTTTGTAACCCAATCTTCACTGGAGCTTAATTGACCCACATTGTTTTCTGTTTTGAACACAAAGTGATGGTTTGTGATCAAGCCACTCTAGTGAGGATCTGGGTTCAAGCTAAAAATACAGCAACTGCATGTGCTGTGGTTCCACGCCGGACACCCCAGCTGGGGTGGAAGTGGCCCAGAGATGTATTCCAGTCTATGAACAGGGCACTGTTCTGCCCAGCTGCATGGCAGGAAGACTAAAAGTGCTTAAACACTATTAATTCTTGTATTCATTTCGGTAACAGTGGTCCTAAAGAACACATTGGTTATTAATGTGGATCTTCGATGTAATTTCAGAAGAATTCCATTGTAACTCAACAGTAATGTACCGTTAAAAAATTGCCACCGAAGTTTTTCTGTAAGTGACAGACTGAATTGTGCTACAGTTTCCGTCTGTCACTCTCGTTATACAATCATAGGGAGTTTTAGCAGTTTAACTGAATTGAGCTGTTTTGCTGGTTTTTTTACTTTAACTTAAGCTAGGTTGATTGATAAGGATGGGTCCTCTCCCACCTATCTTTACTTAATATTTAATACATCTATTGTAGCTTAAAAGTAATTCTTTTAGCATCCTATTAATTTTATCTGTCAAGGGAAGTTTGTCTTATTTTATAACCTGATAAGTGGTCCATGCTAATTCTCTGTTCTTCCTACTCCCCATCATCATGATGTGATGAAGTTAGCAGGCAGATTGTATGAAACAGAGATGTCCAGATCCATAAATCCACCTATGAACTAATGGGCATTCATGTAGTCCCGGTATTTCAGTGTTTGGTGCATGCTGCCCAGATGTATCTTACTAGGGCACAGTGTAACTGGAAAGGTGTGTTAGCATAGCTGCTCACCTTACGTCGATTATGGACTTACAGATGAGTGGTCTGAGTGAAAGTAAGTCCTGTTTTGTGCTGCAGTGCTGCAAAAGTCTGAATGACTGTGGTGACTGAGCCTCCTGAGAGTGCTGCCCTTGAGAGGTTCGTGGTGTGCAAAAGCTTGGATTGCTGCTAGCATAGTATAGATTACCCAGGACAGCCTCCTATATACAATGTACAAAGGAATTGTTGAATATGTAATGAAATAAAAGCAAATAGATCAATAATGAGAGAATTACTTATAATGTTAATCCCTAATAGTATGCAGAGAAATTACTTTAACTGCTCTTTTAAGATTTAACATCAGTCATAATGAATCCATTCCCAGTTATTGACAGGGTTTTGTCTGGCTACCTGCCACATTGGAGGCATGCACTGACACACATCCCATCATCTCCACTGTGGCCCAGTGGAGCCAGCTCAGATGGCTCGCACCTGCGACATGTCCTTGTCTCCAGATCAGATAATCTGCCCATGAATAATGGAGATCTGACCAGTGAGCAGAGATGTGTAACAAGTGAGACACGTATAAGAAGAAACAAAAACAACTCGCTACATGCCTAACAACTTCACTGAGCTCCCTAGAGACTATCTTCTCTTTCCTTATCATGGTATCTGCCTTGCAGATACCTCCCTTAATCCATTATAACATCCAGATGCAGGAATCTGCTTATCCATCTTCCAGAGGGTCTGCAATTCATGGTGCATTTGAATGCAATGAGTATTGCGAAGAGGTCATTAAATTATTATCGGGTAGCAGAGTACAAGCAGTGTCCAAGAGCAGAAACATTGAGAAGGATTGTTGTTTTCCTTTACAGCACATTCAACTGGACAGTGCCTTTCCTCTCTGTCCTGGCCTGCTTAGTCCTGGCAGCAGCAACAGTCATTTTGTATTTTATACCACTGAGGTACATTGTTTTAATCTGGGGTAAGTACTCCACCGTGTCTCATTTGCATGCAATAAATACAATATATATCTACAGAACTAAACCAATCAAGCTTTAAACGACCTGTTACACAGACAATCAAGTGCTATTGCTTAGAGGTGAATAAATATGCTATGAACTTCTTAAAATTACCATTTTTTCCCCCCAGGTGAACCGATGATCTGCTTTTTTAGGGTTTTTATAAGTTTCCAACAGCACCACGAGAAGAGCATTAGCCTAGATAAGCTACTTGCAATATTATTATTCTATAAGGAGAGTAATTATCTTCCAGGTTCTGGATGCCCCCAGCTGGGAAATGGTAGGGAGTGGACAAGATGTATTTGAAGAGCTGGACCATGGAGGCCTGGACCCTGAGAGCCTTTTGGGTTTTAACTCCCCTGCAGTCAGGAGGAGCAGTGCACCTGGTACCCCATGGTCCAACAGGAGGCACTGAGCATCAATTTCTGTCAGGGGTTGGAAAGGATTTGTATGAAGCTGCATCATGAAGTAAAAGAGGAGCTTTTAAAAATGAAAACTTTCCTGGTGTTATTTTGAAGAGCAGTAAGATGGTCTTTCACAAAAGGAGATGGCATTCCAGCTGTTGAAGACTTTCTTCATCTCAAAATGACCTTCTGGCTCACTTAGGGTAATAGCTTTTATCTCAGCCTTGTGGTATAATGACTGAGAACACAGTGCAGCTAATCCTTGCCAAACCATGGAAGCTCAGCCCTGGTGTGGCTCTGGGCTGTAGGAACCCCTTATAACCCTGCCAGGGCTGAGCCATCTCCTGCTGTCTTGGCTCTCCTGGATGCAGAAAAGGGGAGGATTGAGAATGTAGCAGTACAGAAAGCCACTTTTGGGCAAAAAATAAATGAAATGAAGGATTAAATCAAACAAAAGAAATGACAAGAGGGAAAGAGAGAAATTGCTAGGAGTAAAAAGTTCACTAACAAAATATTGATGTTCTTGTATGGAAGACATGGTGAGTACATGAAAAGTATACATCCGTTCAGCATCATCTGACTGACAGGGCCTTCAAATATGATACATGTTAAACAACTACCCTGTGGCAAAGCCTCAAAAGACCTTATGGTATTTTCTGTTTTTTAAAAATCAGGTACACAGAAAATTGTGTTGCCATTTTGCTACAAGTATATGGCTTAAAAACTGAATCTCAGATGTGAAGCAGGTACATTTCAGAGAGAGGAGAAGGCTGGATATTCAGAGAGAGGAGAAGCCATCATATTTGAAATCACTTTCAGGGAAACTACTGTGAGATTTTGGACAGGGGCATGATGGAATTGAATGCTGTATTATAAAACCCAGAGGCAACCAACATTTGAATTCTTTTGCTATTCTTTAAAATGGGTTAGCTGAATTCTTTGCCTAATGATCCTTTCTTCTTCTACCCCACCTTTAAATAGCCACACTGCTAGTTGCTATTTCTCAGTTGGGAAGTGGTGGCAGTAGGGTGTTAAGTGGCTGCATTGGCACAAGGAATGATCTGGGAAAGGTGCTCAGGTCTCGCTTTCTCATCCTGGTCCTTGCAGTAGAGATGGCGCTGACTGAGGGCTGCTCATCACTCCCTTTCCTCAAAGGGAGAATAGAAGACCTCATGAACTCCACAATAGTATGAACATTACACTCCCATAGATCTTCTGTGCAGACTAGGGACTACCTCTGACAGCTGAAATATAACTAAGTCCATGGAGATGGGGAGCACTGTTGCTGCATTTAATAAGCCAAATTATTCACCCTAAGATCAAAATAAAGTAAACCTTGAGATAAGTTTTTGTAGCTTCCCACAGCATCATAATATGGCCAGCTGGTCAAATCTGATTTTGCAAAGAGGGGGTAAGCTATGACACATGATGGGGAAGACAATCTTTCATTTTCAGAAGAAATGGAAGGAAAACCCCCCTTAATCCTGCCCATTTATTTTCAGGGCCCTCCAGTTCCCTGGGCAAGAGGAGAGGGAATGTCTTTGGTCATGCAGGGTTGCAGATTTAATAGCAGTCTTGGCTCCAAATTTGTGTATTCTCCCCACAATATCCCCAGAATGAATGCATGCTGTAATCTCTTTTTGCCATGTTGTTGACAACAGATGATCCCCAAAAAAAGAGAAATACCTTTACAAATAATGCCCTCTGCTCCCTCCAGGAGGCATTTGTGAATGATTCCACATGACAGGGAACGTGTGAGTGGCTTTAAGTCCGAGGCACTGTTTTCACACTGATTTTTACTCGTGAATTCCTCTTCCTTTTTTCACCTTTCCTGAATAATTTAGGAGGGAGGAAATAGAAAAGAGTTGTTTTATTTTGTTTGTGTGTGTTGGTTTTTTTTTTTTTTTTCTAGGCATAAATAAATTTACTAAGAAGCTTAGAAATCCCTATGCCATCGACAATAATGAGCTACTAGATTTCCTCTCCAGGGTACCATCTGATGTTCAAAAGGTAGGTAATGAATGGCCACTGCCAACAGAGGCAACAAGCGGCACTGAGAGCGGCTGGGTGCTCTGCTTGGGGAATATGATGCCAGTGCACTTTTGAATGACGGAGATAAGAATTGGAGAAAATCCACAAAGGGGGCGGGAGGAGGGTGTTAGAAGAGAGGGGAGCCAAAATCCTTTGTCAGAAGGATAAAATGATTGCAGAAAAATTATCCTGAAAAGACCTACTTAAAAATGATCTGGAAAATCACCCAGCATGGTTAGTGAGCTATGGTTTCTGTCACCTTTCTGCTCCGGTATTTGTATGAAGGGAAGAGAAAAATAGTCTCTTTGATAGAAATAACCATCCAAAAGGATTTGATGAATTCTTCCTTTTCTCAAGCAGGGAGTGGGGGGGGCATTATTTCCATGACTTCGTGCTCGCTGTGGTTTTTTTCATATCAGCTGTCCCTCAGAATTCTTCCTCCCTACCCACCTTGAGCTCCAGGCCTCCCTAGGACAATGCTCATCTTTTTCTTTAAAGAATGCCTTGAGATGTGTATAAAATACTCTGCGGTTGATCAGATCAGTCTTCTACCATTATGGAATTATAACTTTTAATCTAACCAAAATCTATTCTCCCTCAATTTCAGTCAAGTCTCATCTCTTCTTCTCTTTCTTTTAAACAACAACACTGTCTTTAGTAATCTTGCCTATCTTCCTGGAAATTATTTGAACAATAAGTCCTTTAGAATGTCCAGATCTGTTTATTTCTCTTGGAGGAAGGAAAATAGTCTTGCTGGGTAACAAAGCCACACAATATAAAGGATTCTTTCTTTTGTTTTAATCAACCGGAATCTGTGTCCTCAGGCCTTGATCCCAATGCACTGGATCCCACTAACATTGTACCTTCCCCTGTGAATCATGATACTTTCACAGTGAGGTGCTACTCCCTGAGAATAAGGGGATCACAGTCTTGCCTATAGTGATTTTACTCTGTTGGAGACAGAAAAATAATTGCCCACATGCAGTGTCGTGGCATCTGGTAGAAACAAGGTTGGAAAAGGCTTCTGGTGACCTTTATCTCAAGAGGCCACCAGATTGGTTGGTGGCAGCACTAATAACTTGGGAGAAATCTCACTATAGACTGGTGGGAGGAAAAAAGCTAAACAGAAATGATCATAGAGACATTAAGCTTCAGTGTATTTTTATTTTTTGTCATTCCTCTTGTAGAGCATGCTGGATTTGCAGTGATGGTTTGCATATGCCCTTTTAGTGTTTATGTTTAAAGATAAGCTGCTTTTCTATTTATGCTTTATTTAACATTTACATTTATAACATTTCCTTGAGTGGTTTCTATCATTTTGGGATCCTTTGAGCTCTCCAATGAAAATGATAACCATTTTCTACAGGAGGAATGCTAAAAGGTCCTAGGATGGGACAAACCTTCTTAGAGTTTTCCACTAGTGCTAAAAATAGTGAGCCTGTGTGACAGCCACACACTCTAGTGAAAAGTCATCCATGGCAGCTCCAAAGCTTCTCTGTCTCCTTTGTTTTACGTGCTATCAATGCATCATCATTTCTCTGTGGTGCTGCAATGAGTTAGAAATTACCTCTGTCTGTACATTAGCCAGGTACAACCCACACATGTTAGACAAAAGAAAGAGGAGGACTGAAAAAGATGGCATGTTCTCCAAAAGGTTCCCCATGATTTCAGTGGGAATATTTTTCTGTAGCACATCAGATAATTTGGAGATTACACCATCCTCGTCAGTTTATCACATCTGTTTTAACCATTATATTGTATATGAGATTGTTTTGAAATGCGGAGGCAGGTTTGTCCAGGTTCTATTTGGGAAAATTCTTTCCTTTTCTGAAATGATTAAATATATCAGCATCCCAAGGCCTGTGTATGGTTTTGACAACTGTCATCTTACTGCGTATTGGGATCCACTTGAATTGAAACTCCTGAAAGAAGTTTATTAAACTTATAGGTTAATGCCAGAAAGATAAGAAAAACAACTCCCAAACCAAAACAAACCCCAAAGATCTAGCCTACATTGCTGAAATCAGGTAGAACCCCATGTATCTCATTAGAAAAATCTGCTTTTAATATTTTTGTTTCAAGAAATGATGCATGACTTCTCAAATCCTTCCTGCAATTAATCCCCCATGTTCCTGTGTTTAGAAAATGATTCATTACTTTTGAACCTTCCTTAGTTTCCCTTGGTTTGTCCTCAGGGAGCCATTAACACACACTGTAGTGAGCTAGAGTTACCTAACTGCAAACGTCATGTCTATTTGTTTTTACAGGTGCAGCATGCTGAATTGAAACCATACAGCAGCTCCAGTCCCATTAGGAAAAAGTGGAGTGCGCTATAGGATGCAGCGCGATTTTGGAATGCAGCACCTCCCTCCGTACCCATACGTGTTTCCTCCATGTGCTTTCCCCCTCTCTTCTTGCTTCAGAACAACACTATAATTGCTGCCACAGACTATATTTTTTTTAAGATGTGGTTTTTGATAAACACCTATCTTGAGTTGTCTTTTCTGGGTTGTCTTTTCAGCATGGAGTCGTAGCCCAAAAAAGAGCAAGGTGGAACATATGAACTAGTTTATAGGGTGGGGAGAAGAATGGGAGAGAATGGTGCAACTGCACTTTCTTTTTTTTTTTTTTTTTTTCTCTTCAATTGCATAGGCAAGGCTGGATGTGGCAGCACTCCCTGTTTTATGTAGGAAGAGATAATTCCGCTTAGTGTAGCGGATCAGCTGAGCTGATGTGAGGAGATGTTCTGAACCAGTTTTTAACATATCCAACAGATTTACATTAAGATATGAAAGCTATTCTTTTCTGAGTTAAATCACTGTGCCTAGAAAGGTTTAAGCTCTGAATTAACGAGTCTTTGATACCCATCTTCTGTTCAAGCAGTGTACATTTTAAAAAGTTTTTTATCATAATTAGCAGAAAGAGCTAGGAGCTCCAACAGTATCTCAGTATTTCATCCAGCACTTGTGGGTTTTTCTTTTTTTTTTTTTCCCTTCTTTTTTTAAAGCCCACCCTGTGGTTAACTCTTTGGATACTGGAATCATCGGAGATCCATTGCTGGCAATGGATGCATGAGAACCTTCTGCCATGAAAGGATTAAGAGACTGTAAAAAAGCCTAACTCACTGACCTGAAAAGGCTCTGTTGACTTGCTTTTTATAATTCCATCTCATCAGATATTTACAGCATAGCTGTTGTTTTCCTGTCTAAAGCCAGAGGGGTCAACACTACAGATCCAAGAGAAAAAACACTTTATAGCCTTAAAGAAACAAGTGCTTGTGCAGAAAGAGAGCGTGATGCCCAAAGACATGGCTGTGCAATAGAGTGCAGGCTTTGGTCCACCACTGATGTCTTGTTGGAGTCTTTCCTGGTGGTTCACAAGGAGAAGATCAGAAAGTGAAGTCATCTGGAAACAGCAATGAAGAGACAGAAGAAAGGACCCCGTTTTCTATTCAGAGGAGAGTGTGATTTCTTTCGTGCTTACCAATCTTGTAGCTATTGTGCTTTTGCTTTATATAATTCAGATAACCAGCATTATTAATTTTGCCTGGGGAAATTGAAATACAGAATCATATATAAACCTGATTAATTTTGGTGAGAGTGTAGCTCTCGGTCCTTTAGGTGCTGTAGGATGTTGTGGAAGTGACTTGGCATCATCACAATTCATTGGTAGCACAAGAGCTGGAGTTGCTTCTTGTGATTCCCAGTCAGGGGTTACAACCAGCATCCCCTGGGTTAATTCACAGTACAAAGAAATAGAGAATCGCAAGAGACTGTTTTCTTTCTAACAAAAGAAGACTTTGGAAGTCATCTAATTCAAGGTAAACCAGGTAAAACCTTGCTTATGGATCAACGATCCAAATGGACTTGCGTCGTGTGGTTCAGTAATGCAATCTTGTGGGCCTGTTGCGTCAATTTGAAGGAGGAGAACTAACACCACAGTATCTTGCACAGGGTGATTAGTCAGATTCAGTGATTTTTCAGGAAGTTTATTTTTCAGAGTAACAAGCCCCACGGTGCCTTTGAATAAAGAGAGGCACATTTTCATAGACTTGATTGGATGAAGAATGTATTTTGCTCATGCGAACCTGTGTGTAGCTGCAAATGGAAAGATAGAAAAAAGATTATCCTGGTTTTAAAAGCCACAAAAACGCCCCTGTGTGTGCACGTGTGCTTGTGTACCCATGCATATACAGAGTTGCGTATATAAAGAGTACATGTGTAATGTATTTATAGGCAAGTGTGTGTGGGAAAATGGGTGAATATACAGATTTTTAAACCTTGAAAATGTTTATGAAAAATGCCAAAGATTCTAAAGCTTATCATCTTGCGTCTGTTCTTCTTCATTTTGTATCTTTCCCGGCATGTCTGTCTGGCTGAGCCAGATCTCTGCATGATTTGATTTACTTCAAGTTAATGAAGCTGGTTGGAAAGAGCCTTGTAGAAATTACAAAATCTCCAGTAAATCTCCTTCTTGTACATACAATAGATGTCCATGGACCCCTTTTGTTAAACCAGTTTCTCAATCTTCTGTGTAAACAATGCCTCATTGTCTCGCCTTAAACTATCATCTGGTTTATCATACTGTAATCTTGTCATTTTGTAAAGACCAAAGTCAGACATATTTAAGCAAGCATGTGAGATCTGATCGTTGATTTGAGTGAAAACATTCAACTACAGAAAAAACTGTTTATTTATTCAGAAGTTTGGACTGATACTTTAATAGTTTTTGGTTTTATTTTTTAGTGTAGATATGTTGTGTTTCAGAATAACTTGTATTACATTGTTATGCTGGCGACATACCAAATGAAGGGATTTGGATGGTCCAGTACCTATATATGTTGTAATGAGCTCTCTGTTTTGATAAAGGCTGCCTGAAATGCAATAAACATTTGAGGTTAAGATGATGCTTTTAATTTATCAGGATTAGGAGATATGTTTCCCATCCTTTGAAAAATGCTTACTGTGCTATAATATTTAGTATCTGACTAGGTAAGCAAGTACATCACTTGACAGTGCAGTGTAACAACTAACACTGGAGTTTACTTGAAATGGAGACTGTGCTGCAGGAGGAGATGAGGTAAACCCTTACCCCACTTGCTTACAATGATGTAGTGGGATTTCCTACACCCTACATAAAGGAAAGGAGGGTTATATGCATTTACTGCACACTCCAGTAATCAAACTCTTTATTCAGATTTTTCATTTGATTCTTAAAGCAAGAATATTAGTTGATACATATCTCTGTGTGTCCATTTTCCCATTAAAATAGGAATTTTTTACATTGTTAATCTATTCAATGTATAGCATGGAAATTATAAACCTAAATTTTTAATTTAAGGTAGTCATTTCAGTGCAACACTATGTACGTTTTCTGTCTAAAGTCTCTAAGACCAGAGGCATTCAGAAATGTAAACCTAACTATAACTCTTTTGGATGACCATGGATTAAGAATCATGGATATATTGGAATATGACTAAACATGTCCACTAACTGTACAGTGTGTAAAAAACTGGATTTGACATATATGTGCAAATGCAGTATTTACTCATGTTTGCCCTAACGTAAGCTGCTGCTGGAGGTTGGTTTCTTGAATAATCACGAATAGCACTGAGGAGTCAGCTCCCCTATGGATCACTGTCAGTAAAACTCAGTCACTGAAACGCACCTTGTGGAAAGCGAGCAAACAACTGAATAAAGCGAAGTCGGTGGAAATGTCATGTACCTTTCCTTTTTTCTGCTTGCACAGCATCGATTTTCACCTTCAGCTGTACCCGTTCCTCCCTCTGCTTCCCCCTCAGTCCCCTTCCAAGCCACCCACAAAGCGGTGGGCAGCTCAGGCTCTGCCCCGCTGACCTGGGGCTCCCACCGGAGAGCACTGCCCAGCAGATCAGCCACACGCTCCCGTTTGGTGGGAAAGGGAAAGTGCTTGTCCCCTAGAAATTAGTCTGGCTGCTGCTAATTCACTGCCTGGGGTAAGAGTACTAACAACTCACTGAATTGGGCTGTCCTGTTAGGAAACAGTCTTACCATCTAATTTCTTGTACTCTACGTGGGGCTACATTTTATTTTATTTTTTTGATTTGTAGGGCCTGATCCTGCAGGCATTACCACAACTGGAACTGGAGTTACTTTCTCATCCGACCAGTAGGTTCACACCAGGAATGAATTTGGCGGCTCTGATGTGTTAAGAAAAAAATCAACAAAATGCATTCTAATCAAACCTTAACCTTTAGATTCTCTGTCCTTTAAACTAAACTGATAGACTGTTTGGGAAATGTTAGCTTTGACTTTAGAGACTATGGCATGTGTTAGAAGTGAATCCTGTTCTGACTTAATATTGTAGGTGTATTTTATCTGTAAAGCTACATGTGTCAGGGCCCTGGTGCATCTACCCCTTCAAATCACACAGGGACATGATAAGAATATCTACTCTTTATCATCCTTTAAGTTAGCGACTCAGAAGGAAGCTGAGATACTACAAATGATTGCTAATCTGCTGTATTGCAGATGGAGTGTTTTAATCGTTCTCAAATTGGGGTAATTTAAGCCAGGTGAAATTCCATCATTTTAGGACAAAGTATCTGCCTGACAGTTTATCGGGGGAAAAACCCTCAGCAGCAACAGTAATTACATAGTTCTGGGAACATGTAATCAAAAAATATGTTTATGATTAATGTAAATATTCACAAGCATTTAGAAATAATGTTGGAGTGAAAACCTCTTGAAATGATACCATTTTTAATCTATTTTGTGATGTTTTGACTTAAAATAGTGTAGCATTTCAAGGGAATTTAGAAGGTCATTTTGCTTTGAATAAAATCTGTGCTCTTCTGACATGAATCATGAAACTGAGCATGGGGAAGCAGAAGGCAGCATTCAGGTCTTGGTGTTTGCAACAGCAGCAGCACCTGGGCGGGCATGAGTTCAAGTTCTCAGTGTGGCTTTAACCTGAGGGCTGGTGATTCTTGTTAAATTTTACGTGGAGGAACACTGCCAATCGGTTTCTGTGTGTTGGATTGAACACCTGCAATTTCCCTCTTGGCTGAACAAGATGATACGCCTCTTACAGCGAAAGAAAGTAAGAACTGGAAGACATGCTGTTGTAAACTTCACTTGTGCTGATGTCTTAGTGCAAGCAGCCTTCTAATCTCTTGAGGACTTCCTTGCACAAGGAAGGTAGGTCAGGCTCATAGACTGGACACATCTGGTTCTGGATCTTCCAGGGCCAGCCATGGTCAGATTTAGATGGTCAACAGATTGTGCCTCGCACCAGTGATCCTTGACTGCTAGAATGGTTCCATGAAACCACTTGCTCAGCTAGCACACTTAGAGTGGTCCGTGAAGGAAGGACAAGGCACAGGGATTTAGTGATTTGAGGGGTAGGTGGATGGGTATGAGTAGGGAACCTGTGCTAGGGGACTGCTTCCCCGGGGAACCTGGTGACTGGATTTCTCCTCTACACCCAATTTGTTGTGCTCAAATTTCTAGCAGGTGAATGAAGAATTTTTCAATTTTTCTGCTCCTGATCTCTGCATTTTTGGTAAGTTCTTTTTATGATGAGAAGAATATTAAATGTTTAACTGTCATCTACCAAGTGGAGATGATAAAACTTAAAGACTTGGGCCTTACACTTCCAACTGCATGGTCAGCTTAGATTCTCCTTCAGTCTCAAAGGGATGTGGGGATAAAATGCTGCTGGATCCAAAATCCTTCAGGGAAGTGCAAAGTCTGCTCACTGCTATTGTTACAGTGACTGCAAAGACACTGGCAAATACTTCCTTTGCACCCTTAATAGAGGTAAGTGAATAAAAGGGGGGTTGCCTTAGTTGACACTACCTTTTATTCCTACTGTAGGTTTTTTTTTTTTTTTTTTTTAAACAGATCACCTGAAAAGAAGCGAGCCAAAATGCATTGGTTTTATTTCTTGAGAAAACACCTGCTGCTACTTCTATTCTAGCTACTGTATGTGGAAGATGAGATTTGACTCACCATCATATAGAGCAACTGCCTCCAAGGGCCTGAGTCTGTGCATAGCAAACCCATGTGTTCGCTTGCTCAGTACTGCCACCTCCTAAAGTAGAGAAAATACCTCTTTTTCATTTTCAAGTGGAGATGAACAGTGTAAAGAGCATATGATCCTAGAGACAAAAAAAAAAATACTTAGTTTCATTGACTTGCGTGCTAAATTTTGCTTTGATCATGGCTGCCTGACTTCTCCCTCTACATTCTGTCTGCCTGTGGCCATCTCACTCCACAGGGTGAGTATCTGGAGCCACACAACAGCTACAACCTTAGAGGAAAGGGGCAGGGAGGGGGGTGAAGTCTCCCTACATTTCTGGCAATAGACGACTTTACTGAAAGTCAATGCCGTTCCCTTGCATTTATCACTGCCACTCTTGCTCTGCATATTTTTGGTATTCGCCATGCATTGTTAGCAGTGATTGTCATGTAATTAAATCACTGCTCATCACAAGAGCCTATTTTTATGCTGAGATAAGCATCAGAAGTCTGCTGCAGCGTCCCCCAGATCAATAAAGATGTTCCCTGTAGGATTACAAATAGTCTGGGGTTGTACAGGGCACTAGAATTAATTAGGAATGATTTCTCTTTTTCTTTCTTCTTTCAATACATTTTTAATTGTTTATCCATTTTCGATGGGCTTGTTTTTAACTCTACTGTGATGGACCAGATGCTTCTGTTCAGACCTTTTGAGTATGATACGATATCAATTTGGGCAATACCATTTGCTGTAAGCAGTCACTATTATCTTCATCTTTCCATAGTCATGTGTGACTATTGCTTCAAAATGTGTTTCTGAATGAGATATTTGCATTTCAGGCTTTGCACTTGAGATTACAGTTAAATGGGCTTATTAAGTGGTTGAACTTGGAGATCCAAATACAATGCATAACCTTCAGGTGTTATCCTGAAGATTTTGACATTTTGATCAGAAGACCAGAGGGCAAGTAGAGAAATTTGAGGTACTTACTTAGGAAGCATTTGCCCAAGGTTGCAAAGCAAGTCTCTGGCAGGAAAATGACTAGCACCCTGGATTATTATGGTTTAGATTTTTCTGGTCTCAGCTGTCCACTTTCCTTTGCCTTGTCTTTACATTTTCTCCTACTTACATGCCAAATGGGGCACTGATCCAACATCAGGATCTGCCACTCTGCCCTGCCTGCTGACCTATCCTACCCACGGAGAAGTCCTGGATTAGCAACAGCCTCGTGTAGGAGTCCTGCTGAGAGAAGTGTGTGCAGACCCTGGGAAAGCCCTTCGAGTCCCATTGTTTGCTGTAGAGGTAAGAGCAGGTAAAAGTTGCAATGAGTCATGAAGGTTAGGATTATTCAAAATAGATCTTTAAAAAGAGGCTAACCAGAACAACGTCAAATAAGGTGTCTGTTTGGGAGCAGGGTAAACTGGAAGCACAGTGTTGAAATTATATAGGATTGACCGGGTATACAAACAGAAGCTGTGGACTGTCTATGTAGGACACTGTATGGTGAGACAGAAGTTTCTGAACAGTTTCTAAAAACACAGTGGTGATCTCTGTGAATGGATGAGGCATAGAGAAGGAGAAGGTCTTAATTTTCACTGCCCTTCAGTCAAATGGCTGAGTGCCATGTGCCATGTCCAGATTTGCTACAGCCGAGATGAAATACTTTAATTTGGACCCACCAAGATCCAAGGCCATGTGAACGTACTGCCTGCATTCTATTTGCATCACAAACCAGCCAAGCACAACATCTCTGTAGGTGGTGGGGTTTTGGGGAGCACAAAACTCAGCAAATGCCCTTGCCGCCCCAGGTAGCCTGCTGTTACGAAGGCAAGCTTTGCATGGTGGGTGCATGTAACCATGCCCACAGAGAGGCAGAAGCTGTGCAGCTCCTGCCAGAAGTTGACTGTGCCCAGAGCGCGGTGCTTTGCAGGCTCCTGTCAGCCCCCCGAAACCCATCTGCCCAGATTTTTCACGTGGCAGCCCCTGAACGTCTCTGGGTTAAAATCTTGCTGTGAACCCTCTCAGTGAGACTCTTCTCATATGATCGGTTAGGCAGGAGCTCCTGCACAGCTCGCATTCTGCAGAAGTTGCATGTTTTCTCCTCCACTGCGGCGTTGTGCACTATTAGTAGAAAGGATCACATCTTTGCATCTTTCTTGCTCGTGCCAGCAGAGCCCTACCGATTTCAATACTCGGTCCTGGCCCACTCCTGTGTGGCAGAAAATTCAAGCTTGCTGTTTTTCAAGTTGTCACCTTCCCCCTTCCTGGGAAAGGGCTCTGAGGGATTTCATTTGTCCCCTGAAGCTCTGCAGAGCTGCTGCTCACCAGAGACAGTGCCCAGGGGTGCCCTGTACAAACATGCTCAGGAAGCAAGGAGCCTGGGGGCATGAGGGGTTTCTGCAACTTTTCTGTTGCCCGTACATAGCGTGAGGTTTCTTTACAGGGAATTTCTTTCCAGATAGTTACTTTCCATTTCCCCACATGGTCATTCTTTTCCATCATCAGAGTGTGACTTGGATTTAAGGTAATTCAGAACAGGAGACTCCTTCTATAAAATATATGCTTGCCCCAGAAATTTTTACGAGAAATAATTCTTCCCATTGCCAGCTCTTAAGGTCAGTTTGCTTGTTGTTAGCCTTCTCATATTATTATTATTATTATTATTATTATTATTATTATTATTATTATCATCATCATTATCATTATCATTATC